GGTAGAAATAAATGGTAAGTTTTCTGAGTGGAGAGAGGTAACTAGTGGGGTCCTGGGACCCATCCTATGAATTGATTTATAAATGATCTAGAAAAAAGGGTAGAGTGATGATGCCAAACTGCTCAATACAGTTAAGACCAAAGCAGACTATGAAGAGCTTCAAAAAGATCTCACCAAACTAAATGATTAGGCAACAAAATGGCAAATGAAATTTAATGTTGATAAATGTAAAGTAATGCACATTGGAAAAAATAATCCCAACTATATATGCAATATGATAGGGACTAATTTGTCTACAACTACTCAAGAGAGAGATCTTGGGAGTCCTTGTGGATAGTTTTCTGAAAACACCCACTCAGTGTGCAGCGGCAGTGAAAAAAGCAAACAGAATGTTAAGAGTCATAAAAAAAGGAATAGAGAATAAGACCGAGAATATCTCATTGCCTCTATATAAAACCATGGTACACCCACATCTTGAATAATGCATACAGATGTGTTCGCCTCATCTCCAAAAAGATATATTGGCATTAGACAAGGTTCAGAAAAAGGCAACAAAAATTATTAGGAGTTTGGAACAGGTCCCATATGAAGAGGGATTAAAAAGACTTGCACTTTTCAGCTTAGAAAAGAATATGATAGAGGTCTATAAAATCATGACTGGTATGGGAAAAATGAATAAGGAAAAGTTATTTACTTATTCCCATAATATAATATGGTGTCACCAAATGAAATTAATAGGAAGCAGGTTTAAAACAAACAAAAGGAAGTTTTTCTTCACTCAGAGCACAGTCAACCTGTGGAATTCCTTACCAGAGGATACAGTGAAGGCTAGAACTTTAACAGGGTTAAAAAAGAGCTAGATAGATTCATGGAGGTTAGATCCATCAATGGCTATTAGCCAGGATAGGTAGGAATGGTGTCCCTAGACTGTGTTTCTCTGGAGGTGGGTGACAGGGGAGGGGTCACTTGAGGATTACCTGTTGTGATCTCTCCCTCTGGGGCATCTGGTATTGGCCACTGTCATCAGACAGGCTACTGGGCTAGATGGACCTTTGGTCTGACCCAGTATGGCCGTTCTTATGTTCTTAATGTTGCAGGACTCTTTGCCTTCATGATGAAACTCTTGGAGCTAATTGCTAAGATCAGGTATATACTTATGCGGACGTTTGAATTAAGATACACAACTCCAGCTATGTTAATTGCACAGCTTGAGTCGACTTACCTTAATTTAAACTTTGGTGCCATCTCCACAGAGGAAGGTTGACAGGAGCAAAAGCTCAGGTCAACTTCCCTTATTCCTCGTGACAGTGAGGAGTACCAGAGTCAATAGGGATGCCTTTACTAGAAGCGCTAAATCGAACACCGGAAGATCAACTGTCACAGCATCTATCCTCTGTTTAATATAGACATAGCCTAAGAAAATATCTACATATCAAAGAAAAACCCACTGCTAGCTCATGCCACCCAACCCATGTGGGGTTTGGGCTGTAGGTTTGTTTCATTGCTGTGTAGACATCTGGGTTTGGGCCATGAAACAGCCCACATAGGTTATAATGCCAGAAGGAACTGTTGTTATCATCCAGTCTGACCTTCCATATTATACAGGCCATTGGAGTCCCCTGAATTAATTCCTGTTTGGTCTAGAGCAAATCTTTTAGAAAACATTCAATCTTGATTTTAAAAATTTCTAGTGATAGAGAATCCACCACAACCTTTGGTAAACTGTTCAAACCTTCACTGTTACAAACGTGCACCTTATTCCTAGTCTGAATTTGTATTGCTCTGACTGGTAGCCATTTGATCGTACTATACTTTTGTCTGCTACTGAAGAGCCCTTTACTAACGAATTTTAGTTTCACGTGTAGATACTTACAGACTGAGATCAAGTTACCCACACCATTCTCTTTGTTGAACAGATTGAGCTCTTTGAGTCTATCAATATGAGGCATGTTTTCTAATCTTTGAATCATTCTCATGTCTCTTTGATGAACCCTCTCCAATTTATCAACCATGAATTGTGAATACCAGAAGTGGACAAAGAATTCAAACAGCACTAGCACAACTGAAAAATACTGCAGTCATTATAATCACTGTATTCCTACTATAAATATTAACTAACTTACTTTTCAGATGTTAAAAATTTAAATAATACATATTATAATGTTCATGTTTATTTTGGCTCTCCAGTAACATTTATGTTCTATGATCCTACTGCTAAAAACCTGGCAGAGAATACATAATACAAAAACTTACGGTACAGCAGGTCTTTAATGATAGAAACAGTATAATATACAACTTACTGTAATAATAAATTATAATTATGTTATTGTAACATGTATATCACAGTTTCCTGTGGGACCTTTGCTTGTTATCAAAGGGCTAACTCAGAGCACCACTCTGGGCAAGCAGGTGTGCAATAAGCAGTTCCTATTTAGGAGTAACCTCTGTAGGCATTGTAATTTAAAGACACTGTTTCTGAGTCACAATCCTCCCCTCCCCCTCACTTCCTCCTTATGTCGGAAGGTGGGGTGTAGTAATTTGCAGCTGACCCACAGCAAACTACTATCTCTCCCCTAAGTTGGTGCAACTACTCAGTTCAGTGAGCAAAACCTAAGGAGAAGCAAAGGCTCCATGTAATTGCCATCACTCTCTGCCATCTGCTCTGGGGGAGTAAGCAACCAGGTATCCCACGTACGGAGGGTTCTAATACCACACAGGCACATAGTCCTAATCTATCTAGGCAAAAAACACCTATGCTTAAACAGAGGTTTACCTCCCTTCACATCCCATCTTTTCCTCATATATGTAAGTGTCAAATTCTGAGGTCAAATTTCTGCTGAAGTCACTAGGAGTTTTGTCTAAATAAGGACTGTAGGATTGTCAGAGGCCGAAGGTTTATTACTGATTTTCTCATAACAATTTTACAAAAATAGCATGTCATCACCAATCCAGAATTATGATTTCACAGCAGGAGCCAACAGAAGGAACGTGAGGCTCCAAGGGAGAAGTCCTAAGTAAAACACAAATCTCTAAATGGAAAGGTAAATTAAAGTTTGTGCAAAGGTGTTCTTCTGGATAAAAAAAAAAAAGTATAGGGTCAATCATGGATTTATTTCAAAAATCTGAATTAGGACAAGTGTTGCCTGAATGAAATCTGTGACATTTCAATGAGTTTCCTGAGTAGAGAAATAAAACAACTTTATGCAACACTTTTTTATACAGTAATAATTGTTATGAGCTGTACTATCTTGAGTGGTTTTCGTTGCACTACATCAGAAGAAAACACTCTACAATTCCATATTCTAGATTTTTTCCCTGCATTAAACTTAATTCCTAGTCTAGATAATTTTTGTCAGCAAAAGTAATTTTTATTGCTATTTTTAGTAACATAAGAACGGCCATACTGGGTCAGACTAGTCCAGTATCCTGTCTTCCAACAGTGGCCAATGCCAGATGCCCAAGAGCGTGGACACAGCAGGCAATCATCACGTGATCCCTCTCCTGTCATCCATTTCCAGCCTCTGACAAACAGATGCTAGGGACACCATTCCTACCCATCCTGACAAATAGCCATTGATGGACATAGCCTCCATGAATTTATCTAGTTCTTTTTCTAACCCTGTTAAATTCCTGGTCTTCACAACATCCTCTGGCAAGGAGTTCTACAGGTTGAGTGTGCACTGCATGAAGAAAAAAAAACTTTCTTTTGTTTTAAACCTTCTACCTATTAATTTCATTTGCTGACCCCAAGTTCTTATATTATGGGAACAAGTGAATAATTTTTCCTTATTCACTTTTTCCATATCATTCATGATTTTATAGATATCTATCATATCCCCTTTTAGTCTCCTCTTTTCTAAGCTGAAGTAATTATAAGAGTACTAAAAGACTGAATAAAAGTATTAATAAAAAAATAATTTCAGACAATACAATCATTTAGCAAAAGCAGGACATGCTACAGTAGACTGTACCCAAGCAGTGATTGAGAACATGATAGGCACCACACTTAACCAAAGAAGTGCTTTGTATCACTTTGGATACAAAGAGGAGAGAGAATTCCTTTGGATAAGTTAGAAACGTTAACCAAACCTTCAACACCTTTTATCCATAAAGAGAGTAGGTATGATGCAATTCCTTTGAAGTAAAGAAGATTGAAAAGGAATAGGGACTCCGTGCATCTGAGGTCCAGCTAAACAACAGAAAGTAATCTTTTTTTAAGTTTAGCTCTAAATACTAACTTTAATGAACTATTAAGTCTCTCATTATATCCAGACAAGGAAGTATTAGGATGCTTACTTTGTTGCCACCCATTTAACTTTTACAAGTCTCCTAAAAATGGACAGAGTAGCTCAAAAAAGAAAACCATTACTCTGAAACAATGGTTGCTATGGGGTCCTTCCTATCATTAGCAGAAATTATTCCATATAAGGAGGAATTAGATTAGAGGATTTTAAAATGTAGAATAAAGTTATTATTAATAAATCAAAAGTTATCAGGTAGCAGCATTTGTGAATTGAAGAACTGAGATACTTGTGCCTGAAGAAAGCTATAAACATCTACTGGAGATGGGAGGATAGCTCCACAGCATGGTAACTTTTCAGATGGAGCCCTCCCAATCTTATCTGCCTCCAAGAGAAAGGGGAGTTTTTCACATTCAAAGCAATCCTACAACAGCTAAGATATCAGCAATGATAAGCAACACTTTTATAGCGAGTTAACAATCTGATTCATGGCTCTCCAGTACAGATGGAATTCTAGTTCCAATCTACATTTAACAAAAATCATTACAAATTTTACCCATGCTTTGGTCCCCTTGATATCCTTGGGCATTTGTCATTTTAAACATGTATTGCTAATAAGTAAGTGTTTCTAAGCTGCAATTCTTATCCTCTACTTGCTAAGAATTTTATTTACATTGCACTAGTCTATAAAATTTAAGGAAATTTGGTATCTATTTAAGCAAAAGAGAAGGAACAGCAAACAACAGAAAACATACAAACCTCTGATTGTACATGCCCCGGAAGTTATAATTTGCTCTATAGTTTGGGATTGGCTTTGGATCTAGTGGTCTATAGATGGCAGGCTCTCCCCTTTTCATAGCAAGACCATTCAGCTCCACTGTTGGTGTTATACTGCCTGTAAAAAATAAGACTACATATAAGACAGCAAAACTAAAAAAGCAGTGACTAAAAAGCTGCATCAAATTTCAGTATAAAATGGAGGTACAGATCCAACTTTAATCACTGAATGTGAACAAGCACTTAAATAGACATTTTCATGTATCCTCTTGGAATTTCATCAAACAACTTTGTCCAAATGAGATTACTGTGATCAAATTGGTTAGTCGGATTTGAACAATCACAAGAATGCCTGTAAAATATTATGAAACTTTTTCAAATTAGTACCAATAAAAGAACGTCTCTTTCTTCTAGATGTCATTAAATAAAAAGATGAAAACCAAAAATCTTATACATGTTTACAGCTACTGAAACAAGATACCTGTACAGGTTGGACCTCTCTGGTCCGGCACCATTGTGACCTGACCAGTCCTGAAGGAGGGAGTTTGCCAGACCAGGGGAGGTCAATTCTGCCCCTCTGCTGACAGACTCGAGGCTTCCCCAGGGTCCATCAGCAGACCAAGCCAGGCTCTGCTGCCCTGCCAGGGCTCCACTGCCGCTGGGGCTCTGCTGCGGCTCTGGATTACTGCAGTTCCACTGTCACCAAGGCTCTGCTGCCCCCAGGCTATGCTGCCCCAGGACCACTGGGACTCCACAGACCCTGGGCTCCACTGCCTCCGGGCTGTCAGCTATCAACTCTTGGCTCTGCTCTCTATCACCGGGCTCCTAAGGCTCTCTGGTCCAAGGGTTCCCTGGTCCAGCAACATCTGTGGTCCTATCTACAGATGTTGCCAGACCAGAGATTCCCAGACCCAGAGGTTCATAGATTACTGTAGTCATTTAATAACAATGTGACAGAAGTCAGGACTAAATGATTTAGTTTCAACAGATGAGAGGTTAAACACATAACTAACATTAAAATTAAAGCGTCGAGGAGTCCTGTGGCACCTTATAGACTTACTGAAGTGTAGGAGCATAAGCTTTCGTGGGCAAAGACCCACTTCGTCAGATGCATGTGGGTCTTTGCCCACAAAAGCTTATGCACCTACACTTCAGTTAGTCTATAAGGTGCCACAGGACTCCTCGACGCTTTAATTTTAATGTAAAAACTTCAATTTTAATAAATTAGTTTCCAGTTCATAAGTTTCTTGCTGTTTGCAATTATTTATTAACCAAACTTTCAAATATGAGCCTGCAACCCATCATAAAACACCTTATTTAAAAAGCAAATCCATCAGAGGAGTCAAATCATTTAATATAATTGTCTTGTTATTTATTTGAGAGGAAATTTTACTAGCAAATTATAAACCAAGATATATCCCACTCCTACTGTGAGAAGAAAAATCCAAAATGAGTTTAAATAGATCTATTCCATTACCTAAAATTATAATCATATAATATGCACATTAATCCAGACCCAGAAGATCAATAATTGTTGTAAGTATATACTAGTTATTCAAGTTTTATGTGGCATTGCTACAGGTTTTATGCAGTACTCAGGCAAAACTATCACTAGCCACAATTTTGATTTTTTTCCCTCAAATGAAGGACTGCACGGATTGCATAATGTATGTGATTATGAATTAAGATACAGAATAAAAATAATGGTAGCCACTAGATCAGAAGATACCTGTGCTTTGAAATAAAAAGTCTTAAAGGAAATGTCATATGAATGCCTGTAGATACTCAATAGATTTTTTAGCTTTAAAGGAAATTCTTCTTATTTTTTCTGTTATCCACTTTTCAATTAAAAATATAAAAAGAAGACTTGTCCAGAACTCCTACTGCCCATGTAATATGCTGCCACACCAACAGCCAAATACAAGGCCCTCCTTCCCAGGGTCCTGCACCTGTTTCTGCTGAAATAAACAGCAGAAGTCCAATTGACTTCAGTGGAAACAGGATCAAGCCCCAAGCCAGCAGGGTCTGGAAGAGTTCTAGGAGTATAGGCTCAGGCCTAAGGGAATGGAAGATAGAAAAGAAAACTTTACATTATTCACAAACAATTCCTTCTTCCAAGGCTCAGGCCATTATTGATGGGATCTGGAGAAAAGTTTGTCTAGCCCTCCTTAGTCAAAAAGACGGTTAGTGTCAAGTGAATCCTTTTGAAAGTGGTTGAGAGAAAGTAATGAGGAAAAATCTCAAAAGAAATAAAGGTATCTTTTCCCATTTCATTAATTACTTTTTTTCAGACAAGAATAAGTCATTGTGTGTGACTAATTGAGATTCATATGCACTGAGTGATACATTTCCTATGTCTGTATTTTATTTTCTCACCTACACCAGCATATTTTTCATGCAGTATTCCACATGCATGTAACATCTCTAGATGAGGGTCACATGTCTCCACAAATGTCCTTCTGATTAATCGAATAAGTTTGCAGAACTTGCTGGAAAAAATCATTTAGGTTGCTACAAAGGAAAATTGATTAGGCAGGCAATTAAGTACTGAGGTTTTTGTGCCAAATTCCACCCTGATTTCTACTTTCGCCTTCAGTGGCATTGCACATGGAGTAACTTGTGTAGAATTTGGCACTTTCCCTGAAAAAAGTGTCAAAATATTAATTTGCCAGGTTCGATATTCTTACTAACGTAAAGATGATTTGTTCAATCTGTTTCCTTTTTGTGCTTGCATACTATTGACCACATAAATTGACTTGTACTTTTACCCTCAGAGCTGAGCTTTGCAGAAGTAAATGTATTCACATGCAGTTAAGCAGATTCTGCTATAGCAGCTAAAAAGAATTACCATGCATTCTAATAGTAAAGTTTTTAATAGTATAACATTACCTTACCTTCCAGTTTTACTTATGCCTAATATAAAATTCTCTGTAAACCATCTAAGCCTGCTGTCTTCTGACAAACAAGAAGATTCATTATTTGAAAGGAGACAAATAAGGAACATACCTGGGTTATTATTAATGTTATTTTTGGGTGGCCTGGGAGTTGGTTTGGGAAGAGTCGTTTTGTTCAATGCTTTGCTAGCAGCAGCATGTTGAGCCTTTTTAATACTGCTCCCTTCTGCTTCCCATGTCTGCTCTCCAAGATGCAGCTGCACTGTGAACATCTTCAAAAACATAAAGAACAGGTAAATAATGGCAAGACTGTCACCAAAGTGAGTTAGAATAATCTTTATGAAGCACTACACAGATGGAAAGGAACTGCATTCCTTTATTTGTTGTAATACTTTGGGCCAAATTTTGCTCTGAGATGTATATATAAGGGTTCCCATTGAAGTCAAATGGCAAGATTTAGCCTTTAAATGTAAAAAACAAAACACATAGCATCACACCAACAATCATATATTGTGTTATAAAAGTCAAATAGTAGTAACTAAGTATCAGCTTGCTATTCTTGGAAGGATATTAAAATTAAATTTATTAACCTGATTCTTCACAGTCTTGCATCTGTGTGATCATTTACATGAATGTAAAGGTTACTAAATGAAAATGACTAAATCTTCAAGACAGTGGAGAACCTTACCTAATGAGCGTCATAGAAAAAATATTGTAACTCATTTTCCACACAAAGGTAAAAGCCCTCACAACCAAAGGATCTGTTCAAAAGTAGAAAGTTTCTCTGGAAAAACAATGCTGTCTTCTTAAATTAATTTTGTTTCTTTAACATGAGTTCTATAAAGCAGATTAGGAACTGAAATCACTCAAATTTAAGAAAGTTGGCTCGACTCACCTTTAAAAAAATCTTGAGAATCAATAGTAAAGAACAATCTCAAACAAACAAACCATCAAAAAGTAATAGCCAAGTGCTATAAAATGTGAAAATGAAATCCTAAACATATTTAAAATATTTGGAAGTCATATCACTATCATAAGCATCTAATAATTGTGCCCTGTTTATATGTATACAGTTTTAAAATGTAGCTCTTCTAACATTCCTTCTAAGGGAGGATAGAAAAAGAAATGAATTAATTTTCTTTCAAATATCAAGGTATCAAACTACAAAGAACCAGATTCTAATCACACATGAATTGATACGTTAACTGCTTATCTTGACAGAACATTCTACTTTACCTTTTGGAGAAACACAGAAATGCGTACACATGAAACTAAAAGATGACATACAATTGTTTATTTAATTTTTTAGTTTGCCTACTTTTTTTTTTTTTTAAATTGAGCTAAATCAGGAGCCACAAAGTTAAAGCTGGATACAAACAGTGGATTCAACATGTGAACGCACATGTCATAGCCAAAGAATACTTGTATATGCGAACAAGCATTTGAACTACAAACTAGGTCACTATCTGCCTAAAAACTAATTCTGAATTATGTGTGCCTGTACAAATTCATACAGAATTTGTTATTACCTCTCTTTTTCTTAAGCACAGTTCTGAAAATTTGGCCATGTATGTCCCTGAGAATTTTAGTCCAGCTCTCAGTATTACAGTTTACATCACCAATTACTAACTTATTTATCTGAAATATACTCATAATTGCTGGCAAAAAAAGAATGCTCTTCATTAATTTAATTTCTATTAAATATAGGTAATATAATACTAACCTAGGAATGAAACCTTGACATATTTAAGATAATCACAATTAAACCAATGAACAAACGGATTATATACATTATTTGACAACAGAACTGAAACCTTATTTCTGGATCCAGAGTTAAAATATTTGTATTGTACAACACTGAACCCATGTAACGTTTCTGTGAAAAAAGCAGATTTTCACATTTCTATGAAAAACATGATTGATAAAGATCTTATGTCTAATCTATATATCTATCTCGTGCCTCTCTTACTAGCACAAAGTGTTACAAGAATTCAATATATTAATCAGAATAAGGGCATGCTCAGCTGATTTCCATAGCTAGAAAACTGACTTTCACATTTAGTATGTTTCAGCCCATTTGATAGAAGTCTCCTGCAAACAATAATAACCAGAAAGAGGTGGAAATTTAATTAAAATTGGTCAGAACCATAATAAAGACTCAAATAATCAATTAGAGGTTTGGAGACCAGTGGCCCTAGATGAACAAGGCTTTTCTATGGTTTGATATGCATTTCAAATGATTTTCTGAGGACGTTTTTGTTCATAATATCTATCAATTATATTATGGCAAAATCCAGAAATTCAACACTTGTCATGATTTGTGTTCTTTCACTCCACTGTCTTTGTCTTTACAGGGTCACTCTCATTTGACTATTGGTGGCTCTTTCTTAACTTCTCTTTCTTCTGTATGAAGAATTTTTTCATCGCTTTCCTGATCCTGCAGTGGGGCTGAGTCCCTCAACTCCCTCTCATTCCTTTGCACTTATCTGTTTTACTTTTTTTTTAAATTACAGTTTCTCTCCTAAAACCCCACTGGCATAGAACAACAGCACTGCAGACCAATCTGACAACTCAACTGAGAACAATACACTACAATAACAAAGTTCAGGCTCATGCTGGGTCTCTGGCTTGCCTACGTTCAACAGCACAGTTTCCTCTCACACACTGTTCAGACTTTCTGGAGGGGCAATCTCTAGAAATTTTAACTGTATTGCAAGTGAGTTCCTCCTTTCCATGGAACATCATTATTTGCCTCTTTACATTTGATCGCAACTGTTAACACTTACTTGCCAGAAAAAGAAAACCAGAACAGGAAGTAAAGGAAAACAACACAGTTTACTGGGACTGATGTCTGTCATATAGACTGCATGTATTACAGCAGATGTCTCTGAAATGTATGAAAACCACTAGAGAAGATAGCTAAGCATATGCAACAGGAGAGTAGCTCCAGGCACTCTGTGTCCAGGTAATTCCATGGAAGAGGGCAGCAGCAATTCATGCTTTTGGGGTATACTTTTTTTTGGACAGAGACTTGGTTTTGTTTTGCCAGTTGTAGAGCACTATGTTCAGTAACAAATAAATATATAACAGCTACTATAACATCGTAACTTCTATGTAAATATTTTCTGCGTGCCAAAGAATTGCAATTATGTCCGACTTCTTTAAAATCATCCTTGTTCTTTTTCACACTCAACTTTTCATCTGTTACCTGCACTTGAAGGGTCATGTCTAACTTAGACTAAGTTTTTCTTGACGGGGACCTAACCTTTTTATACCATATGTTTTGTAAAGTACCTAGCACCCTTTTGGGGACTATAAACATAATTAATAATTATAACAAATGACACCCATAATAGTGAACAGAGCCAAGCATCATAAAAAAGTTGTACACTTGCCTATTTGCTCGGATAAGCTTCTAAAACTCAGCTTCCTAAATCTATATAGGAATCATCAAGCAATTATGAAACATTAGCCTCTTAGGGCCCAAATTAGGAATCCCCACAAAAAATACAACAGACAAAACTACAAAAATCTAAGAGGCCCAAAGTATTTCATAAGCAGGAATTGTAACATATTTGTTTCATAAAACATATGTATTTTCATTAAAACCAAAGTGAACTTTTTTTGCTTCCTGCTGTTTCTGGATTCCAACATACAGAAATGAGATTATAAGGATAACATAACACAAATCCTTTGATTATTGATTAATGTTCTTGGAAGATACAGGCAAAATGAGCCTTCCTATATGCACCTAACATTCCACAGATTTCTGTGGAACAACAGTGGCATAAGTAAACGAGAACCAGTGGAAGGATTAAAGAAAGTATCAAGTAGATGTAACGTGAGAAAAAGCACAAAGCCAAAAGCCCAATCCCACAAGGTGCTGAGAATTGAAGTGCTTTCATCTCCCACTGATCTTGACAGACATTGAAGGTCTGATTATTTAGTTGCCATGAACCTTGTGCTGTCATTTGCACCGGTGCAAAGTAGGTGCAAAAAACTGCCAAACCAAAATGGTAGTGTTTTACACCCATGTTGCACTGGTTATAATGCAAATGCAAAGGGCAGCATTAGGAGAGCACATGCAGAACTTCTTGGGAGAGGCTAAGTGACTTGCAGGATCAGACTGCATGTTATTAACAAGAACTCTGTTCAGCTTCTCTGCTGTTAAGATGCAGAGTAGACCTTAAAAGGTTCTTGAATATAAAATCTGATCTTTGCTCTCCCAAGCTCAATATTTTAGTCATCTTTCTTGTGAGTTTGCCCTTAAGGAGGAAAGAAATCTGAAACTCTTTCATGTAGATATGTTCCTCTAGGTCCACTGCCATCTGAAACAACCATGGTATGTTCTCACAGATCACAGCTGACTATCAAAACAGGAGGGAAGCTTGACAAGGATGCTAAGATCTTTATATCAGAAGAACCATTGTCACTGAGGACCTTAAGGAAGGCTACACAGGATTTAAAGGAAAATACTGTGATAAACATGTTGTGCTTTTCACGTGGTGATATAATTAGACGATTTGCTATCAATATAACTAACTTTATGTAAACTAAGGAAAACTTATTAACACAAAACAAATGGGAAAGTATTAGCCCAGCGCTCTGTTAGCAGTGGGTCTGCAGTGCCTTGAAATGGATCTATGTGAGATTTTGAGAAGCATACTGCTAGTGTCTTGGTGGGAAGGAGTCTTTGTGAAGCTCAGCAGTGAACCTCGCAGATGATTAAGCCAGGGTGTTCATGGACTCTGAAGAAACCTTGCAGAGAAAAAGATGAAGGCCAAGAAGTATAATCTCAAGGCCAGGGGTAAGTGAGGCAGACGGCAATGATATAAAGATCTTCAGGGCTTTAAGAGTGACACAGAACAACTTCCTAAACACCATTACACAAACAAAGCAAAACAAATCCCTTGCACTATAAACCTGATTGTGTTTGGCAAGTGCACTTGTTCAAACCATGACATTAGCTGTTCATAACTTAAGGTATGCCTCATAACCTGGAACTGTAACCTTACCTTGGCATGAGCAGGCCCTCTTTCATTCAGAAGTTTATACAGGGGTTGAATTCTATTGAAACGGGCTAACTCATTTACCAGACACATTGGAGTTTTCTCTTTGGGGTTTGCCATGTTATCTTGGAGAGGAGCTGTAAATAAAGAGTCTGTAAAGTTTTTGTGGAGAAATGTATTCTTCACAACTTTGCAAAACTTTGCAAAAGTAGAAGTATGTTTAAAAAAGAAAAATACTTTGGCTAAAAAAAACCCTCATACTACACTAAAAATATGAGATTGCATTAATGACAACAAAACAGAACTGAGGTAATATAATGTTTAAATACTATTTACATATTTATAATTTGAGAATACGTCTTTTATTGTGGCCATTTCAATTACATGCAATACAAAAAAAGTTCAAAAATCTCTCAAATAATGAGGACAGCATAGTGGACATTTACATATTTTAACTTGTATATTATACCATGTCTCTGACTATTACTTTCTGCTCTGTACTCATTATTGGAGTTATTTTTTCTTTAAATGCAACTTCTAAATACAGCATTGGATAACAAGAGGGTTACAGAATACAAAGAACTTGTGATCCCACACTTGTTTACCCATCAAAACAGTAGTAGTAGCATAGAGGTTTGAAAGAATGTTGGGAAGAATGAGGGTCTCTCGCCAACTTTATTTCTTTCAACAGTTTTAGGGATTCTGTTCTGTTTTCATAAACCCAGATTCTTTATATATGTTTCTTTATTGTCTTTATTCTCCTGATCTTTCTTTCTTTCATCCTTGTATTTATCCCCAACGCAAACTTGCACTGCTGACTTAATTTTGGGTAACATTGCACTTTATTTTATACCCAATTGAGAACAAGAACTACAACAGTTATTAGGTTATAAAGGAAATGTCATTTTCTGCCAAATAGACTGAAGACATTTTGTTCTACAGAAGAAAAATGTACTTGATTATCTTCATGCTGTATTAAAACTTCGCTATAAAAGATCCATGTAGGACAGGGATGAGCAAATACTACACCATAGGCCGGATCCAGTCCGCCAGGGTTAGCTCCTGGCGGGCTGCCACTG